GCGCCTTTCCTGGAACTCACTTGGTAGCCCAGGCTGGCCTCAAACTCACAGAGATCCACCTGGCTCTGCCTCCCGAGTGCTGGGATTAAAGGTGTGTGCCACCACTGCCCCTGATTTCAGCTTTTGAAGGGCAGCAAGCTTAGCTGTCAAAGTGTTGAAACTCTTAGGACCTTTGGTACAAAAGGGCCCACCTGTATAGGTCAATAAGAAGCCTTGATCTAGCTGGGTTCCAGGAAAAGCGCAAAGCTACACAGAGAAACCCTGTCTAGGGGGGAAAAAAAGAAGCCTTGATCTAGAAAGAGGAGTGGTCCACATAAAACAGATACCCAAGTATCAATCGTGTGTGTCACCTGTATCCAAACCTGTCCCAAGCTTACATAGTAGCATCTTATAAATGTCAAAAGAATACTGCCAGCTTATAATCATTTGGGACAGGAATCAACCTGGGCGAGGAAGAGGACATCATGCCGGATACCAGTAGAAAGGGCAGTCATATTCACAGCTTGTCTCAGATCCAAAGATCTTGAAGGAAGAAAGGCAAACGTGCAATGTGGCAGAAAGCTCTGGGACAGTGGGGCCTGTGGCACTGACTTGTGTGGCACTTACAGGGTGGCTTGGGTATGTGGCTCCAACACAGCTCATGGTGGCATAAGGTCCAGAGTCCTGCGTAGAGCTCAAGGCCACTGTTGGTCACCAGGAACTGCACCCAGCTCAGCGGGGCCGTGATGATGAGCAGCAGGATGCTAAAGCCAGAGAGGCTGCCACAGAACATCCGGGTGTAGGTGTATGCCTGATCCACGTACTGCTGCCGCTTCCGGGCTGACATCAATTGTTTGTCAGTAGGAAGGGTGGGCTACGAGGATGAGGGAAACAGTGCCTGAGAAACTAGCCCCAGCTACCCAAAGTCTCCTGTCTCTACCTCAGTATCCCCAGGTGGGTTTGATTTGTACACCTGTTTCCTTACCTGTCGTTTAAAAGTCAACATTTCTAAGGTGATCTTTTCTGTCTAGCTCTGTCCTTAAGTCAAGTCCCCGTCTTCCCCTCTGACCTTCTGTCTCCTCACCCTTTGGTATTTCCGGTTCCCTTTTACTTTGGAGACCTCAGGGCTGTAGAGGGTCATGGCTTGTTCCTTCCTCCCCATCTTGGCAGCCAGTTTACTTTCTAACTGCCATGGAATTTGTCTCAACGCCTCCTCACACAGGCCAGAAGAATCCTTGGTACAGATCCTGATTCTCTTTCTCATTCTCTCTCTCTCTCTCTCTCTCTCTCTCTCTCTCTCTCTCTCTCTCTCTCTCTCTTTTCTCTTTTTTCATTTTTATCACACCAGGAAGAAATCACCACTGTGCGTGTGTGATATGGGGGGGGGGGTCCCTACTTCCCCAATTTTATTAAACAGTTTACACACACATTCTTGGAAGTTGTGTGTCAGGCTTCATGCCAGCTCCTGAAATGTGAAGATAAAGACGGTTCTCTAAGAATAAATTTCACAAGTGTAACTCCAATTTCAATTGTTTGTGATTATCACTCAAGACTGTGAATGTACCAGTCGCCAGTAGCCTACACAGTTCATGCATTTGCCAGAATTAAGGGTCTCTATACACTTGTAAACCTGTCTGTCAGTTAGGGCCCTTCCTACAGCATCCATTTCCTTCCTTTCTCACTCTGCTTCCTTTTTTAAAAAAATTGATTTAAAATTTTTATTAGTGTGAGGCTGTGTCTGCACGTGTGTATGATGGGTGTTTTGTAGAGATCAGAGGAGAGTCCGTTCTTTCCTTAGACCTTCACACGTGTTCTGGGAATCTAACTTGGGCCACCAGGCTTGTCCAAAGTGCCTTTACTCACTGAGCCGTCAAGCCGTCCTCTCGTTCCCTCTCTTCGATGTCTTCTGTATAAGGACACTCTGCTACCTACACACTGCCGACAGAGCCCATCATAATGCCAGAAGCCATTGCCCTGGACACTAAAAGTGACCCCTCTTCAAGAGAGTGTGGTGGTGCAAGGCTCCACATGAAAGTGAGGGCTTTCCCTGGCCTACCTCGGCCCGCCGACGCTCTAGTGACACTCATCTCCTTTCTAAACAACTCTCTACCTCTGATCCTAACCCCTCACCTCCAAAGAACTCAAAGAATCAAAGATGCAGGGCAGACAACATTCTGTTCTTCAGACTTCTGGTTGTTTCAAGTCTATACTCTGCCAGCTCTCGTTTTGTACACATATTGACGCTGGTTCCTAACTCTGGTCTGAATCTAGATGCTGACTAAAAGTTTCTTCTAGCACACCCTCTTCCCCAAGCCCATGACCTGTTGAAGCCTGTTCTGTATGTTGGCTGGTGAGAACCACAAGTTCTATGCACTGGTTCATGTCCATGCTGCAGCATGCAGAATTGCTTGTGTGTGATGTATTTGTATGTGACATGTACCGACATGTGTGTAACTGTGTGTACGTATGGAAGCCACAGGTTGACCTTAGCTGTCTCCCTCAATCACAAGCACCTTATTTTTTTTCTCTCACTAAACCTGGAGCTTGCCAATATGGCTAGACTGGCTAGTAAGACCCAGGGAGATTCCTATCCCTACCTCCCCAGAACTTGGGTTACAGATGCATGCCACTGCTCTCCAGGCTTTGTGTGTGAGTACTGGGTATTGAACTCAGGTCCTTTTTTTTTTTTTTTTTTTTTTTTTTTTTTTTTTTTGGTTTGTTTGAACTCACAGAGATCCACCTGCCCCTGCCTCCTGAGTGCTGGGATCTAAGGCATGTGCCACCACCGCCCCGTGAACTCAGGTCTTCTTGCTTGTATGATAAACATGTCTTTTCTCTAAGGTTGTGTTTATTTTTATTGCTAATGATATGTATACATGTGTTGGAATGTGCGTGTCAGCGCAGGTGTCCGCAGAGACCAGAGGAGAGTGCCAGATCTCCTGCGAGCTGCCCGGTGTGGGTGCTGGGAACTGAACTCGGCTCTCTGGAAGAGCAGCCTGAGGTGCCTCTTTTCTAACTGAGCTCTCTCCCCAGCTCCCCTGGTGTAACTCAGGCTGATCTCAAATTCACAGGCCTCCTGAATCTGCCTCTGCAACATTTTCCTAGCAGGAATCAGCACAGTCAGTCACAATAGTACTTCTGCCAAAGTACTATTTAACTTCCCAGGCCTTAGATCAATGCCTGGAAACAGAGTGTTTAATGATGAATGGCTAGATGACCACACTTTTAGAGAAATCACAGAGATTGGTGCTGCAAAAAGAATGGTTAGGACTATCAGAAGAAAGGTAGAGAAGAGGTAGAAAAGCTGTATTTTAAAGGGATCCCTCAGGTAATCAACCTAGGGAACATTCAGGGCGATGATATATGCCAAGGCAGGAAGTCCTAGCAGTGTGACTCAACTAGGTATAAGATAAGGGATACAAGCAGGTAGGGTGGCTCACACCTCTGATTTCAGCTCCGAGCAGTCGTAGGAAGAATAATCACCCACGAGTCTGAAGCCAGCCTAGGCTACAGAGTAAGTTCCAGGCCAACCTGGATAAAGAGTTAGATGCTGTCTAAAACTACAAAACAAACAAACAAAAAAAAAAAAAACATACATTGCTTACCACAACGAGATGGCTAGATCCTATTGCTGAAGACACCACATACTTTGGTTGTAGGAAAAATCAACCAGGACCTGACCTTGAAGCTTCCATTCTAGGGGCTAGCTTTCCTAGAGCCAGCAAGTACTATGCAGGCTGCTGGGGGAGAGAAGTCATCAACAATCTTACCCGGCAATGGATCCTGGGAAAGATCCTAGGTAATGATTACAAGATCAATGTCCCTTTGCTGTCTTTTCAAGCTTGCTTGAATACTATCTTGGAACAGGCCACATTGAGACAGATTACCCCTGGGATCCCTTTACTACTGGCATTATGCAAGCACACCACCAAATAGATGATGATGTCATGTGGGGTATCAAGCCATTTGTGAATAGTGACTAATTTCTCGAAGAATGTAACACTCTAGCCATTAGAGGAACAGGTTGGCACCATCCAATCCTCAGGCCTCCTCTCAGAACTACCCCAAAGAGCAGGACACTTTGACACTTTGACCAGCTAAGAACTTGCTAGGGTCTGTGATAGGTATAACAAAAGAAGCATGTAATCTGGTGGCTGTGTATGGTGTCGTTTAGTATACATTCAAACCATTGCCACTGTTTTGAAAAGCAGTCTTCTTAGAAGAAAATATGGGCCAGGCGGTGGTGGCACATGCGTTAGATCTCAAGCACTGCTTCTGCCTCCCTAGTGCTGGGATTAAAGGTGTGTGCCACCACTGCCCGGCATATGTACTGTTCTTGCAGAGGACTAAAGTTCACTTCCCAGCACCCACATCAGCTTGCTCACATCTGCCTGTAACCACAGCTCCAGGGAATCTGACACTCTCTTCTGGACTCCACAGATACCTGCACACACATGCACATATACACACACAGGCACAAATAAATAAATCAGTCTTTAAGAAAAAAAGATTTCTTTTACCAGGCATGGTGGCACATGTCTTTAATATCAGCACTAAGGAGCAGAGGCAGGCAGATCTATGAGTTCAAAGTCAGCCTGATCTATATGATAAGTTCGAGACCAGCCAAGGAAACATAGTGAGACTGAGCTGGTAAGATGGTTTAAGGACCTGAGTTTGAATCTCAGCACTCACATACAAAAAGCCAGGGGTGGTGGCATCTGCTTGCAATCCCAGCACTGGGGAAGCAAAAGCAAGAAGATCCCCAGGGCTCACTGGGCTACCAACCCAGCCTACTATGCAAGCTATAAGACAAAGCGAGAACCTGACTCCAAAAAAAACTGTCCAGTGCCGACAGAAGCCCTGCGGGTGACTCCTGACCTCCAGGCGCGTGTGCAAACTTACGCATGTACGCCTGCACACGGGGAACACAGGTTTCAGATAATTTCAATGAGATTTCCTGTGCTGGGGCTTGGGTCCTAAAGTTAGAAATAAAGTTATTCTGGGGAAAAAGCTGTTGGTTCCTGTATGGTTGCATTGGTAAGATGAGGCTCTTACTTTCTACACATAATGTTATGATGATGGAATTCAAAAATTGTGTATGGATTCTGTAATACAGATGTGATGCCTGGCAGTGGTGGCGCACACCTTTAATTCTAGCACTCGAGAGGCAGAGGCAGGTGGGTCTTTTGAGTTTGAAGCCAGCTTGGTCTACAGAGGAGCCAAGGCCACAGAAAGAAACCCAGTCTCGAAAACAAACAAGCAAACAAACAAACCAACCAAAAGAACTGACCATTGACTCCCCCCATATCTCCTTTTAAGGGATCTGTTCTCATTAGCACCTACTCAAGGGTGGAGTTGTGTGTCTATTTGTTTGAGACTGGGTATCATATGGTCCAGACTGGCCTTAAACATGCTACATAGCCAAGGATGAACTTAAACTTCTTTTTAAAAGATTTAAATTTTTTTTCAAATTTATGTGTAGGTCTGTGTAAGTGAATATCACATGTGTGCGGGTGTCTGCAGAGGCCAGAAAAGGGTGTTGACTCACCTGGAACTGGGGTTTCAGGCAGCTTACAACTGCCTGATGTGGGTGCAGGGAACCGAACTTCTGTCCTCTGGGAAAGCAGCAAGTGCTCTCAATCACTAAGCTGTCTCTCCAGCCACTGACTGTGAATTTCTGATCCTCCTTTCTCTACTTCTAAAACACCGGGATTACAGGCATGTGCTACCAGGTCATTTACGGAGTGCTGAGGATCAAACTCAGGGCTGTACATTCTAGGCAAACACTCTGCCAACTGAGTCACACCCCCATCTCTGCTTTTGTTTAAGACAGGGCCAGGCTGGCTTCTAATTCCTGGTCCTATCAGCTCTGCCTCTCAACTTCCAGGATTTCAGGCATGTACCACCACACCTAGTAAGATCTGACAGGGATATCAAGTACTTGGAGCTAGCAGGGTATAGAACTTGTGTATCAGGTATGCGACCCTAGGTTCAACCCTTAGAACTGAAAACTGGACCAAGTGTTAACTTTTGTGTATGTGTATATATGTATGGTGTGTGTCTGTATGTTTTATGTGTGTACATGTATATGTGAAGTGCATATGCACACATGTGTGTAGGCAAAGGCCAGAGAAGGACATCAGAGGGCATGGAGGTCTTTGTGCTTAAGACACGCACTAGAGAAACGTGGAATGTGAAGCCCTCAGGGTTGTTCTTTCAAAGGAAGGAACACAAAAC